TGGAATGGAGGGCAGGTCTTGTGAGGAAAGGTTGAGGGAGGTAGGGCTTTTTTCATTGGAGCGAAGAAGGATGAGAGGTGGCTTGATAGAGGTGTATAAGATGATGAGAGGCATAGATAGAGTGGATAGTCAGAGACTTTTTCCCTTCACCTATGACTTCCCTTCACCTAAAATGACTATTACGAGGGGGCATAATCTTAAGGTGATTGGAGGAAGGTATAGGGGAGATGTCAGAGGTAGGTTCTTTACACAGAGAGTGGTGAGCCTGTGGAATGCGCTGCAGGCAGTGGTAGTGGAGTCAAATACTTTAGAGACTTTTAAGCGACTCTTGGATAGGCACCTGGAGGATAGTAAAATGTAGGGTATGCGGGAATAGTTTGATCTTAGTAGGATAATAGGTTGGCACAACATCGTGGGCTGAAGGGCCTGTACTGTGATGTACTGTTCTATGTTCTATGTCAGATGACAACGTTTGTAATGGGAGTGTGTGTGGCCACTGGCCATGCAGTATGCCATGAGACATTGGTTTTGGGAGTTCAGATTGAGGTTTGGAGGAGTAAGTGACCCTGGAGCTGGAGTTTGAAGAAAAGCTTTTATTGTTTTAACATTGTTTTAAAAGCAGCATTTTGATATGTAACAAAATTATATGCTTACTCAAAACAATATTCAGAAAAAAAGGCTGAATATATGAACATTGTCTTAATTTAAATCTCTGTGAAAAATTAATCTCCTTCAGTAAAATGCACACATACTAAAACAAAAGAAAAAAGCTCTAAGATGACAATGGAGGGCAAGACCAGCCAACACTGTCTGCAGGGACATGAGAGATGGTAACGTAGATTCAGGAAGCACTTCCTAAAGCAAATAATGTTCCTGAGGTAATTACATCCTTTCCTCAGTGAGAAATAAAAATATGTTAATTATCATTTGCTGGGAAATTTTGCATAAAAAGAATATTTGAGTATCAAACCGAACAAGAATTCTGAATAATGATCATGAAATCCCGTTGTGAATGTATTAATGCAGCTGTGTTTAGAGACAGTCCAAGTAGAGAATAAAAATCATTCAGAATTACAAAGCAGCCATGCAATCAGGTTTTTGCCCACTTAATTTAACTGCATTTCTGAAACACAAGTGGAGGATTCAGACCTGTAAGTGGATTCTCCCTTCAAATAAAGGGAAATTTGTGACAGTTGGTAGATGCTGAATCTGTCATGATGAATGAGACACTCATTGGGCTTTTCACTGGGGTACTCCCTTGATTTGCCTGGAGATAGCCTTGTTGTCCAATTAAGGATGGTGTTGTGGCTATCGAAGATAGACAACCTATGAAAGGCTTTCCAGCTTGAAAGGCAGTGCTGATTGTAGACCATAATCTACTCTCTCAGTTGAGAGAGATGAGTCATGAGGAGTTTAACCTGAGGGTTACCATGCCTCAGGTGAGGGGAGAGGTTGAGAATGCAGGGCCTTCATGGTAACCTCAGCCAGTACAGAAATTGAAGCCACTCTGTTGATGTCTCTCTGCATTGTAAATCAGCCATTCAGCAAATGGAGCTAACCACTTCTCAGGTAATTGCAAAAAGTGTTTCAAGATGGGGCACCAGCAATTCTTTTGTGAACCCTTAATCAAAAATTGCATTTTGAAGTTAACCCACCACTATCAGAGATAATAGGGGTGTTAAACCCTTAAAAGGGTGTTTGCTGTTGTTCAGAGATCCTCTAGGCCTGCCTCAAGTCCTGGCTACAACCCAACCTGCCTTCAAGAGGATATCTTCAAGCACATCATCTTGTCTGCAGGAACTTCGAAGGTGACTGGAAAATACCAATTAGTCTCATTTAGCTAGTGTCAATTTTGTTTTTAACGAGTCTGATCAACTACCCACTTTACGTTGGCAGGCAGCCCTGCCATCATCCAATCTCACGTCCGGAGTCAGGATGAATCCAAACCGTGTGGAAGCAGGCCATTTGGCCCATTGAGTTCACAATGACCTTCCGAAGAACATCCCACCCAGACCCACCCCACCCACCCTACCTCTGTAACCCTGCATTTCCTATGCAAATACAAGCCCATCTAACCTGCACATCCTTGGACACAACGACAATTTAGCATGGCCAATCCAGCTACCCTGCACATCTTTAGACTGTGGAAGGAAACTGGAGCACCCGGAGGAGACCCACGCAGACATGGGGGGAGTTTGAAAACTCCACACAGACCCACCCAAAGCTGTATTCAAACCCAGGTCCCTAGCGCTGTAAGGCAGCAGTGCTAACCACTGAGCCATTGTGCTGCCTGTAGAGCAGCGTAGTGGCTGGCAATGCCAGTTTTGGTTCCTACATACATCCAAGGTTGACTCTAGCAGAGACTAAAAGTCCAGTTCCTGTTTAATTAGTAAATATTCTTCCACTTTAACCTATATAGTACAATTGGATCTGTCTCCTGCCATTTTAGGATACACAGAAAGCTAGCACACAGGTGCAGTAAGTAATTAGGAAGGGTAATGGAATGTTGGCCCTTATTTCAAGGTGGATGGAGTTTAAAGATAGGTAAGTTTAATTGCAACTGTACAAATTGCTGATAAGATCACATCTGGAGTACTCTGAGCAGTTTTAGCCGCCTTATTCAAAGAAAGATTTTGTCACTGGAGGACAGGATTATTGGATTCTTAAGGGGCTAGACAGGATAAATGCTGAGAGATGTTTCCCGTCATAGGAGAGTTTAGGACCAAACAGCATTGTCTCAGAATTAAAGGATGCCATTTCAAGACTGGGATGAGGAGGAATTTCTTCTCTTAAAGGATTGAGTATCTTCAGAACTCCTTAACACAGAAAGCTGTGGAGGTAGAGTTTTTGTGTATATTTAAGGCTGTGATAGATTCTTGATAAGTAGGAGAATCAAGGGTTATAACGAAAGACCAGGAAAATGAATGTGAGGAATGTTGGATCAGTCATGATCCTATTGAACTGCAGATCAAGTTTGAGGGGCCAAATGGCCTTTTCCTGTTCCTATTCTTTTCAATCTTAAGTCTGTAATGCATTCTCTGAATTATTTCATTTTGCCATTGGCAGTTGTTTTACATATAATCCCATATTTAACACCTTCAGCCCCAGTCTGGGCTGTCTTGATATCTTGCGCACATAAAGTAGAAAAAAAAATGCTGATAACCTATCACATGTCCAAAGATGCCTCTTTACATCAATACCTCAATAATTCTCTCATTTTTAGTCCTTGTATTTTCTTCATCTGCACATTTTGTCTCTCATTACCTTATAATTTGCTAGGTCTTTGTTGAACACCTTCCTACGGTCTCAACCTCTCCTGTACACAAAATGCTGTATATTTAATTTCCTTTCTACCCATCATTATCTACCTTTCCATCCCAGTCTACCACTTTGCATCTTAGTTTTCACCTGCCTATTTATTACCCTCTACATTTTATTAACCTTCCCCATTCTGTCTACCTCTCAGTCTACATTCCCTTCTTATTTTTGAAGGCTATGAGCCTAGTGAGGGAGTGTGGGACTAGTGTAGGCAGTAGTACATTTTTTGCAGGATAGGTTCAATGGATCGAATGGCCTCTGATGTATTGTATGATACTGTTATATTCTCTCGTTTGGGAAAGGCTGGAACCACAGGACACTATTCAAGAATAAGGACAGGAGAAGAAATTCTGGAGAAGAGAATTTACAGCAAATTATTAGTATGTGAAATCTCTTCTCCAGAAAGCAACAGAGGCTGCATCATTGAAATTACTTAAACTTGAATTAGACAGATTTTCAAAAGACAAGGAAAAAAGGGTATGGGAGGCAGACAAGAAAATGGAATTGAGACCATAACCAGATCAGCCAGAACCTTACTGACTGGTACAGCAGGTTCAAATGACTGAATGACCTACTCCTGCTCCTAAATCATATATTCCTATGTACTACCTTGTATCCGCATCTAAACAGTCAATATCATATTCATCCTCATGTCACTTTGCATCTATACCTCACTGTTTATTCAGGTTGACCTTCTCACCTTGCACCCAAGCCTTTTTGTCACAAACACAACTCTATGCTTTCTCTCCTTCCAGCAGAAAGTACATAACTTCAGGAGAAAGCAGAGAGCCAGAGGAGGACGGCGTACAGTGATGGCCACATTGACGGTCAATGCCAACGTTTGCCCTCCTGGCCCAGTGAGAAGGAGGTCTTGCTACAGGAGGATTGAGATTTCAACATTGGTGTCATAAAAGCCTGTTTCCAGAGAAACTAATGCTCACGTATATTGAGATAGCCGATCTCTAGCTATGGGCACTGCTTTCTGGACTTGCATCCTCTGAGGTGGATTGCTGCATCCATCCCTTTGCTATTTCCAGTGGCAAGTGGCTGAGGAGGAGGAAGTTGTTTTTGCTGCTCATTCAGCTACTGGTCCTCCTCCTCCTGTTGATATTTCTCATAAGTGCAAGGTGGAGCTGCATAAACTGTTTCCAAGTTGCAGTGAAGGTTGACAGCAGATATTCTAGGATTGATTGAATCAGAGAAGTGCAGATCAAGGTGAGAGGACAGATACTGAAAATTACATGGAAAGTAGGAATAATAACACACTCAGTAGAAGTGCTCACCTGGACATAATTGCAGTATCCATTTTCAGCAGTTGAAAGCTTTCCAAGCCCATAAGTTTCACCAGAGACAAGATGCAGGCAGCTCTTGAACCTATGCTTTGGCTGTTAAAGCCAGAATGCTGGCTCAAATGCAAAGTTAATTACCATTTGCATACTTTAATGGTTTGCTGGCATTTGCACATAGCTTACACATTAACACGACTCTCATTGCCTCTGGAGACCTGACGTCTTAACATGTACACATAACTTATTATTGCTCAAGTGGTTTATACAACAGAAGTCAATGTAACCTTTAAATGGCTGCAACATATGAAATATTTTAAAACAGCAATGACAATTCATGTAGCAATTCATAGGTTCCATCTTATATTGCCTAGTAAATAATGAAGACAAACATACCTTGGCCTTGTCTTGCTTGAAATTGCTGTTGAAAAGATGCGTCAGATTTTCAAATGTTGTAGTTAGTGGCATCATGAACAACTCAAATTCATCTTCATCCTCACCTTATGTGTAAAATAAAAATGAAGAAAATGTTTTCACAATAAAAATAAGAAAGAAGTGAACTCAAGCTTCACACCACTCTATTCAGTCCATAGTTAACCTTGCAATTTTGACATCTCCCATCAGCATGAAGACAGCTCTAGATGTTGCCACAAACTAAAATGTTGACAAGAGTTAATGACTGAAACAAAACTCAGTGCATTCCACACTTAAATATCAATACTATTCCTGATTTCTATCCTACAAATCTTACTGTTAATCATACTCATTGTCCTAGATAACCCAATCCTTTCATTATTAGACTCCTGTTTGTTGGTACATGGGGTCGGGTGGGGTGGGGTGGGTGGGAAGCTCTTCAGAGGGTTGGTACAGACTTGATAGGCTGAACGGCCTCTTTCTGCAGTGTAGGGACTCCACAGATCCTTTCAGGCTCTGGGGACTTATCTACCTTAATGTTTATCAAGACTTCCAACTCCTGCTCTGTCTAATATCAACATTCCCCCCACAATACTTTACCATCATCCATGTCTTTCTCTTTGGTGAATTCTCATGCAAAGTACTCGTTAAGGACCTCATACACTTCCTCTGACTCCACATATAAATTCTCTTTTATGTCCTTGAGTGGACCTACTCTTTCCTTAGTTGCTCCTAATATATGTACAAAATGATTTGGGATTCTCCTTAATCCTACTTACCAAGGACATTCATTGCCTCTTCTAGCCCTCCTAATTTCTTCTTTTTTTGCTTCCTTTGTACTCCTTGAGGGCCTTGTTTGATTTCAGTTTCCTAAACTTTATATATACTTCCTTTTTCTTTGTGACAAAGCTTTCAATATCCCTTGTTATCTCAGGTTCCATGAATTTTGCCATCCTTATCTTTCATCCTCACAGGAACTTGCTGGTCCTGAACTCTGGTCAACTGATCTTTAAAAGACTCCCACTTGTCAGATGTAGATTTGGTCTCAAATAGTCACCCCTAATCTAATTTCTTCAGTTCCTGCCTAATATTGTTGTAATTAGCCTTCCCAGCACTTTCACTTAGAATGAGTTGGCACAGTGGCTAGCATGCTGCCTCAGAGCGCTAGGGACCGGGTTTGATTCCAGCCTTAGGTGACGGTCTGTGTGGAGTTTGCACGAATCTCCCCGTGTCTGTATGGGTTTCCTCCAGGTGCTCTGGTTTCCTCCCACAGTCCAAAGATGTACAGGTTATGTGGATTGGCAATGCTAAATTGCCCATAGTATCCAGGAATGTGCAGCTGGATTCCCCATGGGAAATGCGAGGTTACAGGGATAGGGTAGAGGGGTGGGTCTGGGTGGATGTGCTTTGGAGGGTCACTGTGACTCGGTCCAAATGGCCTGCTTCACACTGTAGGGATTGTATGATTCTACCAAGTCTTATCCTTAGTCCTAACTATCTTAAAACTTATGGAATTATGATCACTGTTCCCAAACTGCTCTCCCTCTGAAATTTCGATCACCTGGCCAGGCTTGCTCCCCACTAAAAGGCCACTTCGGCAGCATGGTGGCTCAGTGGCTAATACTGCTACCTTAGTGCCAGGGACCCAGGTCTGAATCCAGCCTTGGGTGACTGTGTGTGGAGTTTGTATGTTCTCCACTTTTTATTCTTCTCAAATTTCTGAGGGTGACGGAAAAAGGTTTATGGGTCAGTTCACAGTTATCATCCATTGTAGCTGCTTGTCTTGTCGTTGCTACCCTTTGGTCTTCTAAATGAGTTCTGATTACAGAAGGTAAGGAAATGTTAAATGTTTCTAAAATAATAATTTCCCTGAGAGAATCGTAAGGACTATCAGCTGTTAAGGGCTTATCCATCTATCAAAATTATTTTGTTTAACTGTCTCAAACTCACTCTAGGTTTATCAAGACTGTTTCCATAAGTTCTGAAATCTCTGAAACATACTAAGGGGAGGATGAGGCAACCATGGACGACAAGGGAAGTCAGGGACAGCATAAAAGCAAAAGAATACAATGCAGTGAAGATTAGTGGGAAACTTGAGGATTGGGAAGCCTTTAAAAGCCAGCAGAGAATAACTAAAAAATCAATAAGGGGAGAAGATGAAATATGACAGTAAGTTAGCTAGTAGTGTAAAAGAAGATTGCAATTGTTTGTTTTGATATATAACAGAGAGACAAGTGAACATTGGACACTGGAAAATGAGGGTGGAGAAGCAGTAAGGGAAAAAGAAATGGCAGAGAAACTTAATAGGAACTTTGCATCAGTTTTCACAGTGGAAGATACCAGCAGCATGCCAGAATTTTGAGAGAGTCGGGGGCCAAGGTGAGTGAAGTGGCCATCACCAAAGAGACAGTGGTGGAGAAGCTGAAAAGTCTGAAGATGGATAAATCGCCAGACTAGATGGACTACTCCCAAAGTTCTGAAGAAGATAGCTGACAAGATTGTAGATGCATGGGTGGTGATCTTTCTGGAATCACTGGAGTCAGGGAGGGTCCCACAGTACTGCAAATTAGTTAATGTAAAATTCCTATTTAAGAAGGGTAGGAGGCAGAAGACAGAAAACTACAGGCCTGTTAGCTTGACCTCGGTCATTGGTAAGATTTTAGAGCCCATTATGAAGGATGAGATTGTGAAGTACTGAGAAGTACATAGTAAAATATGGCCAATTCAGCATGGCTTTATTGAGGTGAGGTCATGCCTGACAAATCTGTTAGAATTCTTTGAGGAGGTAATGAGCAAATTAGACAAAGGAGAGCCAGTGGATGTGATTTATTTGGATTTCCAGAAGGCCTTTGACAAAGTGCTGCACAGGAGGCTGCTAAATCAGTTAAGAGCACATGGTGTTCGGCACAAGACACAGGCTTGGATAGAGGATTGGCTGATTGGCAGAAAGCATAGAGTAGTGAAAATGGAGTCTTTTTCAAGATGGCTGCTGGTGACTAGTGGTGTTCACACAGGTCCGTTTTGGACCACAACTATTATATATTAACAACCTGGACTAAAGAACTAAGGTCATAGTTGCTAAGTTTTCAAATGACATAAAGAAAGATAGGAGAGGGACAGGTAGTTTTGAGGAAGCAGGGAGGCTGCAGATGGACTTGGACAGGCTAGGTGAGTGCGCAAAGAAGTGTTTGATGGAATACAATGTGGGAAAGTGTGAGGTTATGTATTTTAGTAGAATAATAGAAGCATAGACTATTTTCTAAACAGCGAAAGGTTTTGGAAATCTGAAGCACAACAGGATGTGGGAGTCCTAATTTAGGATCTTCTTGAGGTTAACAGCTAGGGTTGGTTGGCAGTTAGGAAGGCAAATGCAATGTTAGTTTTCAACAGGACAAAAGAACACAAGTGTACTGCTGAGGCTGTAAAAGGCTCTGGTCAGACTGTATTTGGAATATTGTCAGCAGTTTTGAGGCCTGGATCTAAGGAACGATATTCTGGCCTTGGAGGGGGTTCAGAGGAAGCTTACAAGAATGATCCCAGGGATGAAGGGCTTGTTATATGAGAAGCAGTTGAAGTCTCTGGGTCTGTACTTGACGGAGTTTAGAAGAATGAGGAGGGATCTGATTGAAACTGGCAGAATGCTGAGAGCCGTATATATAGTGGATATAGAAAAGATGTTTTCACTAGTAGGAGGGTCTAGGACCCAAGGGCACATCCTCAGAGTGAAGGCACAACCCTTTTGAATTGAGATTAGGAGGAATTTCTTCAGCTAGTGGGTGGCGAATCTGTGGAACCAATTGGCACAGAAGGCTGTGAAGGGGAAGTGACTGAGTGTTTTTAAGACAAAAATAGATAGGTTCTTGATGGATAAGGGGATCAAGGGCTACAGGGAGAAGGCAGGCGAATGGGCGTGAAAAACATATCCGTCATGATTGAATGGCAGAGCAAAGTCGATGAGCCAAATGACCTAATTCTGCTCCTATATCCTCTGGTCTGTGATCTTTGCCTGTATGCTTTGGGGACCAACTCATATGTGCTTAGAATAGCCCTTTTCACCTTTTCATGATCCCTGAAACGTTCCTCTGACAGGTTCACATACATCTCTTGTGCTTCACCAGTTAATTTAGTTCACATGTGCAAGTTCCAATTTGCTTTCGGTCATCTCATTTGGCTTGCTATTTTCTCAAACGGCATAAAAAATGCTTCCATATCGTTCTCTTTAAGTTTTGGCAAAGTCTGCACAACTGTAACCATCTCCTGATGGACCTGTGGATTATGACTAGCAATTTCTTCTTCCAAGTCTTCCCAAACCATAGGTGAGATGGGTATTAAACTATTGAATCTTTATTACTCCAGGACATATCGATGTTCAATGGAATCTTGAAACTTCTTGGGCTGCTTCATTTCTACCCTGTTTCTCCCAGGATCCTTGGACGTATTCCATCAATTCACAGCATCCTTCATCCACTGAACTAACTTATCTACAACTTTTATGTATAAATTTCTCATCTTTCTTTTGACTAACCTCCCCTTAATCTTTTCATTAGCAAACTCTGATACTTTGTCACAAGGAGTGAGTGAGACAGAGACCATTGTAACAATTCATTTGGATAAACATTTGAAATAGGACAGAGGGTTATGAGAGCAGGTGGAACAGTGGAAGTCATACAATATTGCTCTAACAGAAAGCAGACAAAGGCACAGGTGCAAAGGGCTAGGTGACCTGCATTTGTGTTAAAAACATTAATGATGCTAGAAGGGAAGGTCGTAGAAGAAATGTGGCTAGACTATTGAGTTTGGTTTTATGCACTTCACAGTAGATGTAATATAACAGCAATGGAAATGGAGTAGCACAGATTCACAGAATGTTACCATTGCATCAATGAAAAAATGCTTCAAATGTTAAGGTTATTTTGACCACAGCTGAGATGTTTAAGAAGTTATCTCACACAACCTTCAAGACTGCAATAATGTAAAATTATTGTGGACTGTTTCCACAGTGAATTGAGACAACAGTAATTGCCCCAAATGTAAATTAAACTTAAATGGAATTGAAGGAGGTTAGAGAAAATAGCTTACACAGATC